GCCGAGCGGCGCGGACTCGCGCTCGGCCGACCAGACCCGGCGGTGTGACCGCTGCGGTGCCGCGCAGCACACGGACGGTCGTGCCTGCCCCGCCCTGGGTCGCACCTGCCACCGATGGCCCCGAACGGGACCACTTTTCCTCGGTCTGCCGGCATGCCGCGGGCACTGAAGAGCGGCGCCGGCAGACGCCTAGTTCCGAGCGCAGCCACCAGGGACAGGACTGGCGCTTCCGTAGCGCGAGCAGCAGCCGCCAGGGGAGGGGCCGGCGCCACCGTAGCGCAATCAGCCGCCGCCGTGTCAGCACGGCTGCCGACGCGTCGCACCGGCAGGTTTCGGTGCTGGCAGCGAATGCAACCACGAGAGACACGGGGAACCGGCAGCAGCCAGCGCCGCCGGCAGCCCGGACGCCGGGCGCGCGCCTCAACAGTGTGACGGCCCACCGGTCGCCGCAGGTCCGGCTACAGCTGCACCTGCCAAACGGAGTCAGGCGGACGACCGTATGGACGCCCGACACAGGCGCCGAGATATCAGCCCTCTCACTGCAACAAGCCGAGTCCATGGGAGTGAGCAGAGCGGACCTCACGCCCTCCACGGCTGTGCTGTGGGCCGCCGACAGCCGCCGGCTGGACTGTGTGGGCACGTACGCCCTCACCCTGCAGCTCGGTGACGTCATACAGACCGTGCAGGTGTCCGTTCTGCGAGCACTGCACTCACCACTGCTGTCGTGGCACGATTGTATCGGCCTGGGAATTCTACCGGCGAGCTTTCCCCGGCAGATTTGCCAGCGCGGCTCGGCAGCCGAGACTGGGACGGACGGTGGGGCACCGGAGCCGCCGCCGCCCGGCGAGCCGCCTGAGGCCCCCGCCGCCGGCAGACAGCCCGCACTACGGCGCTGCAGCGGCACGACGGCGGCACCTGAGGAGACCCGGGACATAAGCCGCGTCTCTGCCGCCGACCGGCCGGCCGCCAGCTCGGCCGGCGCCGACCCGACCGGGCGGGCGCCGCCGCCCGGCCCTACGCGCGCGCCGCCGCCCGGCCGCCGGTGGCACCCCCTCCGCACGGCAGCGGCGGGCAGATTTCGACAAATTGAAAGCCGAGTTCCCGAGGGTCTTCGATACGGAGTCGACCCTGCGGAAGATGACGGGGGAGCCGATGAAGATCGAGCTGACGGACGACCCTCACGCTGTGACCACCGCCCGGAATATCCCGTTCTGTTGGCGAGAGGACGTGCGACTGCAACTCGACGAGCTGATGGAAAAGGACATCATCGAGCCGGTAGAGCACCCCACAGACTGGTGTCATCCGATCGTTCCTGTGGCCAAGGGGTCGTCAGACGGCACAGTGTCCGGCTGTCGGCTGACCGTGGACTTCACGAAACTGAACTGGTTCGTGAAGCGACCGACGTACCCGGTCCGCTCGCCTCAAGACGCACTCGCCTTCGTCTCACCCGGCGCTGCGTACTTCACCAAGCTGGACAGCAAGGCGGGGTACCACCAGGTCCCCATCCGGCCAGAAGACAGAGACGAGACCTGACGTGTTTTATCACGCCGTGGGGCCGCTACCGGTACCTGAGGGCTCCAATGGGAATCGTCAGCTCTGGCGACGTGTACAACCAGCGCGGTGACGCCGCGCTCGGCGACATCCCGCGCACGTGTAAGGTCAAGGACGACGTCCTGGCCTATGACGCTGACTACGCCGCCCACCTGCAGCACGTGCGGCAGATTCTGCTAAGGTGTGACCAGCACGGTATCACACTCAACCCGGACAAATGTCAGTTCGCGGAAGACGAGGTCGAATTCTGCGGCTTTCGCATCAATTCGGCTGGCTATACCGCCGACGGCAAGAAAGTCCGTGCCATCCAGGCCTTCCCCAGGCCGGGCAACATCACCGACCTACGGTCGTTCCTCGGCCTGGTGACCCAGCTCGGCGCCTTCTCCCCAGAGGTCGCCGCCGCCGCCTAGCAGCTGAGACAGCTGCTGCGGCCGCGGAACGCGTGGCTGTGGACGCCAGCGCACGAGCAGGCGTTCAGCGCGGTGAAGATGGCACTCACGTCGCCTCCCGTGCTCGACTTCTTCGACCCTCGCCGCCGCACAGTCCTTGAGACTGACGCCGCTCGCTCCGGCGGCCTGGGCTACTGCCTGCTGCAGCAAGACGCCGCAGGCCGGTAGCGACTGATCCAGTGCGGCTCACGCTTCCTATCGGACGCCGAGTCGCGGTACGCCGTGATCGAGTTGGAGCTGCTGGCCCTGGCCTGGGCCTGCAAGAAATGCAGCATCTATCTCGGCGGGATGCAGCGGTTTGAAGTCCTGACCGATCACCGGCCGCTCATCCCGATCCTCAACAGTAAGAGCCTTGCGGAGATCGAAAATCCGCGGCTCCAGCGGCTACGAGAACGGCTGGCGCCGTTCAACCTGCTCGCCATCTGGCGGCAAGGCAAGCTGCACGCCATCCCGGACGCGCTGTCGCGCGCGCCGGTGGATGACCCGGCGCCTGAGGACGAGGAAGCCGAGAGGGACGCCAGCCATCAGCTCGCCAGCGTGCTCTCACGGCTGGCCACCGACGGGGCGGACGACGGTCCCAGCCCGTTCAAAGACGCGGCGCTGACAGAGGTGCGCGCCGCCGCCGCCGCCGATCCGGAGCTCATCGCACTCACTGACCTGATCCTGAACGGGTTTCCAGAGCACCGGTCACAGCTGGACCCGCGCCTCCGACCGTACTGGGGAGTTCGGGACCGGCTGGCCGTGGACGACGGCCTGGTGGTGTGCGGCCAGCGGCTCGTGATACCGCCCAGTCTGCGGCGCGCCACGCTCGAGCGCCTGCACGCCAGTCACCAGGGCGTCGAGCGCACCAAACGCCGCGCGCGGCAGGTAGTCTACTGGCCGTTCCTGGACAGTGACATTGCGAACCATGTCGGAGCGTGCCCGGCCTGCCAGCAGTACCTGCCCAGTCAGCAGAAGGAGCCGCTGATACCGGAAAAGACGCCATCACGAGTGTTTGAGGCTGTCTCCGCTGACTACTTCGCCTGGGCCGGCCGCACGTTCCTGGTATACGCGGACCGGCTGTCCGGGTGGCCGTTTGTGTCGCACGTGGCCGGCGAGGCGACTGCCAGAGACCTGGTCTGCAGCCTGCGCCAGATATTCGCGGCCACCGGCGTGCCCACCACCCTCCGGACAGACGGTGGACACCAGTTCACCGCCCGGCTCACCCGAGAGTTTCTGCGCCGCTGGGGAGTGGAGCACCAGATCTCTACACCGCACTACCCTCAGTCTAATGGGCACGCCGAGTCGGCGGTCAAGGCCGCCAAACGGCTCATCCAGAAGGCGACCAGCAGCGGCGAGCTCGACACGGACGCCTACGCGCAGGGGCTGCTGGAGCTGCGCAACACGCCGCGCGCCGACAGCCGTTCTCCGGCTCAGGTCCTGTTCGGCCACCCGCTGAGATCGGCAGTGCCGGCGCACCACCGGGCCTTCGCCGACTGCTGGCAGCGGGCGGCGGACGACTGTGACGCCAGGGCCGCCGCGCAGCAACAGGAAACAGCCGAGCGGTACGACACGACAGCCCGCCAGCACAGCGCGCTCACCATGGGTCAGCGTGTGCTCGTCCAAGACCCGCGGTCGGGGCTGTGGGACCGCGTCGGCGTCATCACGGCGGTCGGACAGCGGCGCGACTACCTGGTCCGGCTGCCCAGTGGCCGAGTCTACTGGCGGAACCAGCGCTATCTGCGACCCCAGAGATCTCTCATCTCGGAGGGCGCCGCCACACCTGCACCTGGGCGCCGGCAGCAGCTCGCTCCGAGCTCGGCACCCGACGGCACGGAGGAGACCGCCGCCGCTGCGCCGGCGGGCGGACAGCCGGCACCACCGGTGCTGCGGAACAGCGCCGACGACCCCAGCTCAGTGCGCCGTGGGACGCGCCGCCGTCGCCGTCCGGCCCGACTGACCGTGCGCTGGGCGGACCAGACGTACGACTGAGTTCGTGCGTCCACACCGTGTGTGGTGTACATTTTTGTTTATGTGTTAGACGCAATGCGTATCTTGTACCGACGCATGCGTCTTGAGGGGGGGGGGGGGTGTTGTGATGGGGCACGTTTTCCTTTCCCTTCATTTGGTCTCACCCCCCGGTCATATGGAAGCACATAAAAAATAAACAGTTCCATGGTCGCCGCCATCGTGTTTCGGTCGTCCTGTGTCGCTCCAAGGATATCGCCGTGTTAATCGCCACTACCGACCATAACAGAACTGACGCATCGGCGGAAGCGGGAGTCCGCAGCGGAGAAGCCTTCGTGGAGTGTACACGGGTGTGGGAAATGAATGCTAAGTGTATCCAAATTGAAGGCACTGCTCTCGAATGATATAAATACTGAACAGCTTTGGATTGTTTATATTCCAAATGTTTACTTTCAGGACGAGTACTCCTTGTCATTCGGTCGTCAACTCCTCTCTCCGACCCCGGCTTAGCGCAGGCACGTATAACCTAGGTCCTAGAATTTGGCCGAGGGGGGAGCGGAGGAATCCCGTAGAGAGAGCCTCCTACCTACAGAGGGCCCTCTACCCGAGGAGTCAGAGGGGTCCAGGGTCCTAGTGGTCAGACACAGACACTAGCGGTTATTCACAGGAGGCCCCACGCAGTAAATTGAAGGGCCCTAGGTGGCAGGCGAGTCGGAGAGCCTTGATTGTCCTGAGTCCTGACGTGATTTTTTGGGGGATTCCCATGAATTTCGTTCGTCTCCGACGTGATTTTGGCCAACGTTGGCCTTCTGCCAGCATGGGCCCTGAAAACCCCTAGGGGGGAGGCGCACCCCGTCCGTCCCCCCTTGGGTACGTCCCCGGTCGGTCCAGCGACTCCACACGCGCCTACCGACACACAAGAAACTCTTGCCATTATGTTTGCTTCTGACGCAATCACGACAGAATTACGGTGAGAGACAAATACGGCGTGCCAAAGACATATTGGGTGTCTCAAAATCACTGAGAACTCTGTAGCTCAAAACTTAGCCCTGCACTCTTTTAGATCTACCCCGTTGAGTGGCATTCTTGTGAAAATTATGTAAAGATATTTATCAGAATAAGGTAGAAGTGTAGGGGGTGGCAGGTGAGGTGCAGAAGAAGAAGAAGAAGAAGAAGAAGTTGTACCTATCCAGTAATTTTATCTTGATTTGTGGACTAGACGAAGACTAGATTTTGATGAAATCGACAAACTTGAACTGCAGGTAAGGTGTTGGTTTGTCATGCCGATTGTCTTGAAACCCTTTCCTTTTAATCTTTCAATTAAAATCATCAACTCCTATCCAAACCACCAAAGAGCCGACATCCCACTCAGTCCAAATTTTCGTTCAGAGGCCAGTTTTACTTTACCCGATTTACCAACAAAAATAGCTGCCTGGAATTTTTCTCCTCATATATCCATTCCACGTAGGTACAACATACAGAGGGTAAACGCGATAGGCATGTAAGCAGTGAGGGCTTCACCATTTACCTACACTCCATATGTGAATTAGCCTTTAGGCAAAATAATCCGGCAGGTGGCTATTTTCTGTTTGTAAAACTGGCCTCAGACGGAGTGCTATCATTTGATTTACCATCACACGATAAGGCAGCAACAAAGTTTGTGGTTTTAGAATCTTGAAAAACTTTCTTGGGAGTGGCACTTGGTAGACATCCGTTTGAGATTCTGCTAGAGCAATAGCATCGCGCTCAAGCCAGCCAAATTTTAGACTGCCAACACAAGAAAAAAATGTTTGGTTAATCAGATTTCAGGCTTCAAAATATTAGGTAAAGCATCAATAGGCATTTAATTCAATTCTGGTGGTAAAAATCATGACCATATGTTGGCATGACATCAATTTTTAATTTTTTGTGGCACAACTTGTATATTGAGGCTTGAAGATGCTCAAATAGATGATATTTTTGATGCGTGTGTTGATGAAGACTGAAGTCCAATGAAAATAAAAAGCAGAAATTATCCTGACCTTACCTTCCCTACTAACCTTCAACCTCCAACCTATCAGCCTACAAACCACCGTTCAGACTTTATCTGCACGCAGGTTTAACATTTTATGATAAAGTAAAAAATGCTCAGCTTGTAATCCAATGTCTTTCAAAACCAATTGGCCTTTTTGGCCTTGCGAATGGTAAACGGAGAGAGAGAGAGTTGCCTAACTCTATCATGTAAAAACTGTTTTTAGAAAATAGCACTGTGTTTTATCCTGGCTTCATGACTCTCTAACGCTCCTTGAAACCGCTTGTTTTCTGACAATTGGTGATACAGAGAGGGTCTGCATTAATGTCCAAGTATGGTCATTTAGGATCAATTTTTGGTGCCCTCGTTTTATATTATTCCATCAGCCTTAGTTTGCCCAACTGACATGCGCTGAATTTGTCGCATGTGACGTTACACCTGACGTGCGCCGAAATTTTAGGTGGAACCCTGGTACTACCTATATACCCTGGGTACTACGCCAAACATAAGTTATAGCATGATCACTGGTCAGTTGCGCAGGTTCACCAGAACAGCTTCATGGGTGCAAAATGACCACCGCAGCGCCCGTAAACCCTAATAAACAAACAAGCAAACATCAGTTGCGCAGTTAATGCCAATTTTTACAGTTTTGATTGTCTATTGATATTGTTTGGTCTTTTCAGGACTCGTGGCGCTGCTCGCCTCCTCGCCAATGCGAATGCGTTCTCTGAGGACAACCCGCCCAAGGCTACCATGGCGAAGCCACGCCACCGCGCCGGCTATAGACTCACGGCCTGAAGCGAGTTTGGGCGCGACGGCTGGCGAGCCAAGGCGGCGGAAAGTCGTCTGGCGGAGCTCCCGTCTGAGGCGAGCTTGATCTGGTCAGACAGCTCCGCCACCGATGGTGTGCTAGATGGAGGAGGAGGGGCCACCCCCCCCCCCCCGAACCGCGACATCCGAGAGGTGCGTGTCGCGGCAGGCGCCCTCTGCTTACACGCGCGGCGAGCTATTCGCCCTAAGAGCGGTGTTGGAGGAGCTGGCCGGACGGATGGTACCGGTCGATATGGGTCGACCGCTGTCCTGGCTCCGTCCTGGAGGCCGACCGTGCAGTCGTTATCGACATCCGCCAGTACCTGCTCTGCATCGGCCGCCTCCCGAGGCCGGATGCCCACAATTCAACGACGTGGAGTGCCCTGCTGCCCGATGCCGCGTCTGCCGCGAAGAGGCTGGCACTCCACGGTATGTGCTGCTGCGATGCGTGGCGCTGGCGGCGTTGCGACAAAGAGCCTCGGCAGCTGAACTGCTTCAAGCGACGTAATGATATCTGCCCTCCCCTCCCCTATCGAGCCGCGTGGGTGTGGACGGACCGGTCGGCAGACGCGAGAACCTGCAGCGAAGGAGCTGGGGTCTACGGGGAGTAGCAGGACGAATGGAGTGATGAGCCGCGTGTCCCGACCGGTCCATTCTGCTGTTCCAGCTCCAGGACCGGCCGCGCCGTCGCCACCCGTCCGGCGTCAGTGGAGGACCGCTCATCAGCTGTCGATTTTCATCAGTTTCGTTTGGACCACTGGTCGGGCTCCTGCCAGTGCCGACATTGGGTTGGGCGGAGTCCTACCGATGAATGCCGCGAGTGCTGCAACATTGGCTCGGTACATCTCGGTACATTTTCCCGAGTCTGGTGTGGCTACGGGGAGACGGATTTGGTGACCCTGGCTGCCGCCGTGAGAACCATCCAGAACCGTACGGCTATGCTGCGGCAGCAGCTGAAAGGAACGCAACAACAATAACTACAACAGCAGCTGCTAATGAAAGGGGAAATCATGGAGCCGGATGACCCGGCACATGGCGCTCAGCCAGCTGAGAATGAGAGCAGCTATCAAATCGCCAGCAGGGTGCTGCGGCTGGTAACTGACGACCTTAACAGAGAGAGCGCCTCCGCTGATGCGGATGAAACTACCCCCTCTCGGGTTTGTTTGACGCCGTCTCCGTCGACTCTTTCGCCTGGGCCGGCTGGCGACCGCGACATTTCTTGTGCAGTGACTCGTAACTATGTTCACCAAACTTGTAAAACTCCTCACGTTAGCATCTTTAAAGAATGTTTCCCTTGTACACTGCTGCAATGTCTTATGTAGGCATATTGTAGGTACAGTCTAAACGAGTGTGGAATGCTTTGTTGTGCTTGCTTGTTCTGTATTTCGTTTGCTATTTATCACGGTGACTATAATTTATTTTGACCAACATTTGCCTTGTTGCAATTTTAGTGGATGTTTTCTGAACTGCTGTTTGCATTATAGATGTTGCTAGTGCGTAGACGCCAAAGATTACTTTATACCTATTGACGCGCCAGATAAAGGAGGTGAAGTATTCCTCTGATCTCTACCTACGAAATTCCTTTATGTGTGTTTTGTAATCGATATTGGCGGTTTTCTTATGTGATGCGGTGTAGAGCGTGGCTGAGGAAGGCGATGTTTAAAGTTGCTAGTTATTTTTCAATACATCTATGATCGGACTGTCGTGCTTGCTGTAGGTCGGACTTCCGTTCTTGATGGTGATTGGACGCACGTGCCGGTAGTTCACAACAATGCGGCTTTTGATTATAGTATAGATTTAGATGCTTTTAAAGTGTTTGTATACGTAGTCCTGAGTTTCGAGATATTATCCTTGCGGGCTCCTTGCCAACAGATTGTCCACTTCTGTGTCCAGTACTCATCCCACTCACGAGGCTCAGTTGTGTTTGCCAACCCCTATACGGAAACATTGGCCAGATAACTGACTACTACTGAAATTTTAAGAAGCGTGGGCAGTAGGGCATAACGAACGGTCATCAGGTTCAGTAGCCGCGGAGCACCTTCAATTAAGGGGGGGGGGGCACCGCCGACTTTTGGTCCCATTCTTTCCATGCAGCGCCCATAGGGCTAATGTAAAAATGCCAAAATCAAAGGGGGGCACGGTGCCCCGGTGCCCTCCCCATTCCGCCGCCTATGCTCAGATTATTTCTGACCTGACAGGCTCAGGGAGGATTGCTCTTTGTTGTTTTTCTCCGATGAACCCTCTTGCTGCACACTGGCTGATCCAAAGGATGGAAGGGACGGGGGGGGGTGCAGACGTAAGAAAAAAGAAGACAATGTTCTTTCCCTAGCGCACGAAATCAATTCTTAAATGAAAATAAAACGAATAAGCTTCCGTTAAGAAGCCCCCGTTCCGTATCTTCCGTTCCATTCCACGACTCGCACGTTCCAGTGACTTGCTGCAGAAGCGTCATCTATACCTCGCCCTTACTGCCGGGAAGGCCGCGAGTTGCGACATCTATACTATGTCTAGGCCTGAAATACCTCGGTAGTATTCATCCGCCACGATGTATTTATTTTTGTCAATCGGTTTGGTCCTTCTGGCCGGATAGGTCGTCAGAATTATCTGAAGGTGCCTGAAATGTCTCGTTAGTGGAAAAAATGTCTCGTTAGTGGAATTCCACTATCTGGCAACTAGCCCTATGTAAACGCGGCTAATGTAAGTATGAGTGAGCACAACCAAGAAATTGACCTGCAACGGTATTCTTTGTCTGATTTACCGTTTATTTATACCTAACTACACATAACATCAATATTTTAATATAACGCAATGGCATGCAGTATATATTGTTACATAATGTTACGCATTGTTTCCTGCTTGGTTTACAGTAGGGGAGAGCGGGGAGAGTTGTATCATGTCCAAGTTGTATCAGGGCGAATTGTGCCAAACTTATCCAATGGATGGCGCTCGCTACACGACCAGCCGACGAGGTTTTCCGGGCGCCATCTTTCCCTGTTCTGTCTTGTGGCTGAGTGGACGCGTCTCGAGGTGAGAGCCGATTTTATGTTTTTTTAATGTCATTCTAAAAAAATAAGTTGCAAGAAAATGTGTGTTTTGGGCATTTATATGTGCACGAATTTGAAAGATCTCCGTAGCGTTGGTGAGGGTAGGTTCTAAGGCTGCGTGAGTGAAAACGGATTTCTCCAGCTGTCCGCTGTTTTTTGAGCACGAGGATGTTGTTTCCAAGATGGCGGCTAGGTACATGTTGTATCAGAGCCGGGTGGGGTATGTTGTAACATGTATGTATGTATTGATGAAATACTAGGACTTACTCCACAAGGAGATCGAATGGGTCGGAGCGCTTTCAATATGTATTATACATATCGTCGTCAGCGAATCAATAACGGGTCGAATCGAGTCGGGTATCGAAGAGGTTCGGGAGCTGCGCGGCAGAGCGATCACATACTATTCGAATTATGCATTAAAGAGAATAAAAAACACGTGAGAACAATCATGATACACTAGCTGCTAAAATGAATTAAAATGGGGTGCTAAAATGCATAAATGGCACGTATAAAAGTACAATAAGGGGGGGGGGGGAACAGGATACCTATGGTGATAAAGACTGAGTAGAAAAGGGAACAAAGACTATACAAAACTGAGTGCAAAAACTGTAAAAGGACGAGTACAAATATAAATACATACAAAGGCCGAACTAGACGTAAACACTACTGACAAAAACGGCGGATTATCGGCAGCCAGCGGTCATGCAGCAGGGCACCCGAGTTCCTGTTCACGTTTGCGTCATTCGGCGACACCAGGACGGCTTCACGCCGACCAACAGTCCGAATATAGGCCGATTCCAGGAGAAGTCGCATCTGGTGATGACTGGCTCGATTCAAGATCTTGATGGCATCGAAAGCAGGTGAGCAGTCTCTATGGGTACTGAAGGCCGATGTATTGGCTCTCGAGCGGACTGCTCCAGTCCAGCTCTCCCGGTGTTCTCGGAGTCTCGTGCCCAGCTCACGATCTGTCTCGCCGATATAGACCATTGGGTCACCGTCCACTTGGCAGGAGCACTCGATCCGATAGATGACGTTGCTCTGTTGTAGCTTAGGCAGTTGGTGCTTAGCCTTGCTGCAGAGCAGCGAGCCGATGGTGACTGAAGGCTTGGAGACGAGCTGGATCCCGATCTTGCTGGCCTCCCGTTTGAGTTGGTAGAACAGGGGGCCGGCAAACGGAACAGAGACTCGGACAGGCGCCGGGTGTGAGTTCGCGCTAGGTGGCGCTGGTAGGGCCCTTGCCTTCAGTCTGAGATCGGTCCGAGTCTTCTGAATGGCCGAGTCGATGAATGATCGTGGGTAGCCATGATGATGAAACTTCTGGCGGATGAAGTCAAGCTCCTGCTGGCGGTCTCTCATGGACGAACAGTATCGGATCGCTCGAGTGCAGTCAGATCGAATGGCCGCTCTCAGGTAGCGGGTCTCGGTGTAGGAGCTGAAGGCAGGCACTTGGTTGGTGTTGCAGGACTTCCTGTAGACCTTGGTGCAGAACTTGTCGTCTCTTCTAGTGATGCAGATGTCAAGATACGGTAGCTGTCGGTTTACTTCCAAGTCAGTGGTGACATTGATGCTGGAGTCCTTGCTGTTCAGCTGGTTGACCCACGTGTTGAGGATGTCGTCACTGCCCTCGAACAAGATCAGGTAGTCGTCCGCGTATCGGCAGAAAGCATGGACCCTGCCACCACAGTTGGCCGCCAGGAGCTCCAGATCAGCCTCCCAGTGTCCCATGTACAGGTCAGCGACCACCGGAGAGTAGCTTTTGCCCATGGCTAGGCCGGTAGTCTGCCTGAACCATCGCTCCTTGTCACCGTCTTGAATGACCGCATGGCAGTTCTGGATAGAGATGTTCAGCAGGTCAGCGACTGCGTCGGGCTTGAGACAAGTTACGTCGGAGAGGGCGTCTCTGTTGTCTCGCAGCTGAGTACGAATCAGTGAGATGGCTGTCTGAGTAGGTATTGACGGGAACATCGCCTCCACATCCAGGGAGACGAGACGGCAGCTGTTGACCGCATGCGTCATGTTCTGTAGCATCTCCAGGACTTGCAGTGGAGAGCTGACCGAGTGTGGAGGGCGTGGGAGGACTTTCAGACACTTCGTCAGATGCTTGGTCAACTCGTAATCTGCACCGCGGTGGGCTGGGCAGATTGGTCTCAGTTTCAAGTTGGAGATCCAGTTGAGTCTGTCGTCGTCGGTGCTGGGAGGTGATGAGTATTTGTGAGTTTTCACAAGTCCATAGAACGGACCGCTGCGGCCATGGGTCTTGGAGAGGCGGCGATAGAGTTGGTAGCCTTCTGGGTTGTTCTCCTTCAGCATGGTGTCACGTCGCCTTCCACGAACAGCAGGTCCGGCCAATGCTGTGAGCAGGTGCTCGTTAAACCTGCCAGCAAAGGCTTCCGCTGGATCACTGGTTACCTCCTCGTAGACCGGTGACTGGAGTGAACGTAGAAGGGCTGCTGTGTAGTCAGACTTGCTTATCACCACCAGAGCCTTGGCCTTGTCTGCTGGAACAATCACCTTGGAGTCATCTCTGGTAAGTGACTTCAAAGACTCGGTCAGTTGTTTAGGCGGCTTAGGCTGTGGTTGGTTGTTGGCCCGTGTCAGTATCTTCTCAGCCTTGTTGAGGAAGGCGGTGATGTCATCGCCGGTCACACCTTGCTGGTCGGCTTGCTTGATGGCGATGTCGGAGACCATCTGGCTTTTCAACGCCAGCTCCAGAACAGGGGGCCTTGCTGGAGCTATGGAAAACTTGGACCCAAGTTGAAGTGCATGAGTCTCTTCTCTAGAGAGTGGCTGGTTAGTGAGGTTGATGACCGTCACATCCGTTGTTGCTGACCGTCTAGGATGTGTACCGGAGAAGGTCAGTCCCCCGTTCTCTCTCAGTAGAGCATGAAACTTCTTGGCCTTCACTGATTCACATTTTCTCAGTTCATGTCTGTAGATGCCTTGGGACTTGCCTTCTAGGACGGCCATGGCAGTCTGAGCGACTCCACGACGCAGTAGGCTGGCTTTGATGCCTTCAAGACGAGCTTTTGTACGGTGCGTTTCTGATCTCGCCTCGTTGAATGACAGGCGGAGGCGAGCTTCTTCTGATTTCTTCTTCCAGTTTGCTTCGCGTTCACTGGATGGCTTGATGTTCAGCCTGGCTTGATCTCCACATCATGTCATTACGTCAATGTATGTATGTATGTATGTATGTATGGGTATGTTGCTTTTGATCGCGAAAGCTAAGCCCTGGCTCGCGTTTGTAGGTAGCTAGTCAATACTCGTTCCATTTCGGCACAATGTGTTGGCTTCTTTGCTCTTAACGGGCCACTTTTGCGTCTAGTCTGTTGATGTTTCACTCGGACTTCATTGACCTAAGTTTGGTCTAATAAAGTGAAGCCTTTGAGTATACCTATACATTGTATTAACCCCATTTAATGTTGTTGTTATGTTCAAAACCAGTAGCAAGCACACTCCCTGAAACGTGAAATGGTGATACAAATTACCCCACCATGTGATACAACTCACCCAAGCCATGGGGCAAGTTGTATCAAAAACATTGTTCTATTCGGCAGACCGTAGAAGAAAAACTGGTAGAGGTAGCGGAAAAGTTACTTTGCACAAAAAAGCAGAAGAATCAAGGAAGGGGATAGTATGGAAATAATGAGTTTATCACG